GGCAATGGAGACACTAGACGATCTAGGATCCGACCACAGACCGGTCTCCCTCATTCTTGGCCATTAGCCGCCCCCCTCAACACCCTCTACTAAAACCTTCACAAATTGGAAGGGCTTCAAGGAGTCCCTAGCGAAAGCTCTGGACTCACAGGACTTCCCCATCTCCCTATCGTCGGACTTAGACAGTCCCGGAAAAATCGACACCGCGGTCGATTCACTCTCCACACTTTTTAAAACCTCCCTTAAGGAGAATGAAAGGGTCGTCCCGGTTGCTAATAATAGTGGGCTTTCCCTGCATATTAGCAACCTATTAAAAGCCAAAAAAGCTGCTTTCCGGAGAGCAGCAAAATATCCCACGCCCGAATATAGGCGCACGGCCAATCGTCTTCAACGAAAACTCCGTTTCCGCCTCTCTGAATTTCGAGACCTCGAAAAGAGTAAGCTCATGGAGAATATCTCTCCCTATCATACATCGTACTATCAGATGGCAAGAGCCCTCCGCATAGACGCTATCACCCACACTCCCCCTCTCTCCCGTCCCGACGGTACGCTAGCCTTCGAGACAGACAGCATTGCCGCTCAATGCTCTCCTAGCTCTCAACTCTTCGACCTCTCACACGTCCAGGCAGTGGAGGATGAGGTCCACCGCCGGAACTCACCCCCTACAGCCTCCGAACCTATCCAATGTAACGTGTCCAATGATGAGATTTCATCCCTCATCAATGGACTTAAGCCTAAAAAGGCTCCGGGCGCGGATGGAATCTCCAACTAAGCCCTAAAACACTTTCCTGAGTAGGTGCTAACCCTTTTATCTATCATCTTCAATGCCTGCTTCAACCTTAGTTACTTTCCCACTACGTGGAAAGAGGCAACTGTGATTGGTATTCCCAAGCCAGGCAAGCCTCTCAACCTCCCCTCCAGTCATCGCCCCATTAGCCTCCTCAAGGCCATGGGCAAGCTCTTCGAAAGAGTCATCCAAACTCGCATAAGGCGCCATCTGTTTCCCACTTGCGGTGACCCTCACATCATCCCTCATCAATTCGGTTTCCGAGCGAAACACTCTTGTCCCCAACAAGTTCACCGTTTTGTGGAATATATCCTCAGCGGTTTTTATCCTCGTCGTCATAAGACCATTGCGGTCTTTTTCGACATAGCTAAAGCCTTTGATAGAGCTGGCATGAAGGCCTTATCTACAAATTATACAAAATAGGTCTCCTTGATCGTCTAGTACGTCTCGTGGCCTCTTATCTGAAGCATCGTACCTTTCGTTATAGACACGAAGGCACGCTATCTTCTCAGCACCCCATCAAAGATGGTGTCCCTCAGGGCTCAGTAATTTTTTTTTTAATTTTTATAGGATAAGGGTGACAAACGAGCACACAGTCCACCTGATGGTAAGTGGTTGCTGCGGCCCATAGACATCTACATCTATCCTCTATTACAAATCAAAATGTAGATGCGTTGTCACCCGTGAGGACTAAGATGGAATGCCTGGTTTCCAGTAAAAAGGGCCTCCGGCCACCTGCACTCACCAAGCGAAACGCAGAGGTAAACCGCTACTTTACGCTGGTTATCTGTGAGGTCGTGGTACCACCCCGGTTCGAGCCGGCCCATCCGTGCGACAGCAAGAGCTGCCGCGTGGCTCTACCACTGTCTAATTGCTACTTGCTCCTCTCCTATACATTTTGTTTACCAACGACATTCCCATCCCGTCGGAAGGTGTTCAGCTCTCCCTCTTCGCAGATGACACTGCCCTATACTGTTAAGGTATCTCGCTACCTTCTATACGGAACCAGATCCAAAAGTCAGTTGATGACCTAGGAGCTTGGTTCAAAAAATGGCGCATCAATTTGAACCCGGAGAAGAGCTCCGCCGTTCACTTCGATTATAAACGACGCCGACTCAAAAACACTCCACCAATACGTATGCTAGGGACCCCTGTCCCCTGGCATACGTCTGCCAAATATTTAGACGTCACCCTTGACACGAGGCTCACTTTCAGGCCCCACGTCAAAAGAGTAACCCGTCACGCACGTTTTTACCTGAGTAGGCTCAACAGTATGTTGGGCCGACACAGTAAAATGTCCCTCAGAAACAAGCGTACCCTTTATAAGGTCTATATACGACCAGTCATGTCCTAAGCGGGCTCCATTTTTGCCCACGCTGACCCTAAAATTATTAATGAACTCCAAGTAGTTCAAAACCTCTTCTGTCGTCGAGATACGAACGCACCTTGGTACGTCCTTAATGCCGACCTTCATCGGGACTCAGAGCTCCCTACAATCCAACAATTCCTTAAAAAACTCTCTGAGAACTTCTTCAAAGCCTCAGAGTCGCATTCCAATCATTTTATTCGTGAGGCAGCTAATTATGCAGCCCCACTCCCCTCCCGCTACAGCGTCCGCAGGCCGAGGAACTCCCTCTCGGATCCGCCTAATAAATTTTCAAACGACCTGAACTGCCTCCTGGCGGCTCAGGCCAACTCTAATTAAGTTATTCATAATTAATTTGCCTTCGTAGGCACTCCCTCAGTGGCTAATAGCCACCTGCGCCCTTTTTTCCCAAAAGAGGGTCGTCTCCGATACGGCATAAGAAGCTTTAAACAGCTGGTTGCCAGTCCCCAAAGGCGGTTTTAGAGGGTATCACTTAGGTTCCCCCGTTAGGCAGTGAGTCCTTCATAACCACGATAGACCGGCTGTCGTGGTATGCGTAATGCATTTCCGCCTCCCTACATATAGTCTGGCCCTTTTCCAATTGCTTTGGGCGCGAAAAAAAAAAGTACGGTCGGCAGTCGCTCTCCAGTCACCGAAAAGAAAACACAGCAAGAAAAGATACAAGTTCCTCCTCACCGCCGCTTGCCTCCTGTTTAAGCAAGACCAACGCGTTTCATTCATTTTTCGAACGGCGTTACGGCGATCCGTAACAGCGTTATTTTCTCTGTTTGCAATTATGCAAATGAACCCCGAGCCTGTGTATGTGCGTTGTAAGACACTTGTATGAAATTTCCGCAGTCTCCTGCACTCCGGATTTTCTTATAAAATTAGGTTGACAATCAAGCACATATTCCACCTGATGGTAAGTGAATTATTTGGACCATAGACATATTCTTCCATAGACTACATATATCCTCGATTATGAATCAAAATACAGATGCTACCTCTGAGGGCTACGATGGAATACCCCGTTTCCATTAAAATGTCTCCGGTTAAGGAATCCACTCACCATACAAAACACAGTAGCATTGAGTGAATATTTTACGCTGGTCTTGAGCTGTCTTGACAGCGTGATCCTTCCCCGGTCGAGCCGACTCATTTAAGCTACAACCATATTAAAGCTGCAGCGTGGCTCTACCGCGTAAAATTCGGATTCTGTTATAACAAACAAGTGTCAATAATAAATTAATAAATACATTAAATTATTAATAGCTTTTAAAGCTTGTAAGAATTAATAGATGTACACAAAAACAAAAATAGTTTTATTAAAAATAGTGATGTACATACATTCTGTAACTACGAGTACTAGGAATAAGCACAAGTTAGTTATACCAGCTACTCGACTCCAAAGAGCCAGTAATTCCTTCATGGGTAATGTATACGCTTTACAACAAAGTCCCAGAAAATATGCAGACCTTATTTTTCAAAAGGTTTAAAATATTTACTACTAACTAAATATTGTCTAATAAGGGTTATTATACTACTAAAAAGTACATGACTGATTATAACCCCTAGGAATGTGATGATCGCCACCACGCTGTTTTTAAATGTTTTCATAACAATTTATAAAATATTATATTGTAAATTGTGCATTTTAAATAAAAGTCCTGCTGGGTTTCTTGCTGGTTCTTTCCAGGACAGAGGTTTTTTTGCGAACCAGTGGTAAAAGTAAAAAAATAACTTTCAATGAGTATTATGTACTGTAATCTATATTGAATGAATATGACTCTATTCTACTATATTCTATGTATTTCAAAGTTAAATTTAGAATATTGCAATCGGAAATACGAAGTGTAAAATAACATCCCACCAAAAACATTCTGTAAAAAACTAGCCAAGTCTCGATGGAGCTGCTTGTTTATCTCTAAAAAGTAATGAAATCTAGGCAAAGTCGTGCCAAGTCTAAGGTTCCTTACTGCGATTTCTTTATTATTATAGTTAATGTTGTGTGACTTGGCCGTTGAAGGGTACACAAGGGTACAAAACCAGGTGCTACATGACACCCTTGCACCAATCTGCCGCCAGAACCGCTACCCATTGACGATGGAAAATTCCCACATGGAAAACGTTGATTGAATAACCAGTCAATTGTAGGCTTGATAAAGTTGCGTTTACACGTAATGTTGCACGTAATTGTGTTTACACGTAATTTTATATCTGTTGTAACTTGTAACTACCTATGTTTGTTAAGCGAGATAATAGCCCATACTGGTATTGGTAATTGGACGCTAGTGTCTCATTTTAGGCGGTTGTTGATTATGCAACACATGCATTCAGCATTGACAATGCTGACTTCTGCTCTCTTCTTTTTGGAGCGTCAAATCCACCACCAATCTAACATAAAATAGACGTACAGACGGACTTCTATCAACGATTCGACGTTCGCCTGTACTGGAAATAATTTTTTATACTGTTTGTTTCAGGCTCGCCTATACAAAAGTATTATTGAAATACGCATTATTCAATCAACGTTTTCCATGTGGGAATTTTCCATCGTCAATGGGTAGCGGTTCTGGCGGCAGATTGGTGCAAGGGTGTCATGTAGCACCTGGTTTTGTACCCTTGTGTACCCTTCAACGGCCAAGTCACACAACATTAACTATAATAATAAAGAAATCGCAGTAAGGAACCTTAGACTTGGCACGACTTTGCCTAGATTTCATTACTTTTTAGAGATAAACAAGCAGCTCCATCGAGACTTGGCTAGTTTTTTACAGAATGTTTTTGGTGGGATTTCACTGCTTTTTGTAGAAACGTGGACACATTGATTTATATTATTAGATTTTCTTATTTGACACATTTTTTTTTCTTTTTAGGTGTAGTTTTTTTATTATTACAATTCTTTCTTTTCTTTTTTTCCGGTTCTAATTCTTGTACAGTAGCAACAGTTTTTCGTATTGCCCATTCGCGTTCATTATTTATACTTTTAGACGGTTTAGATGGTTTAATTTCTGAAAGATCGGCGCGGTATTTACGCCTAAGCCGGTTGTATTCGGTGATTGCTGAAGCTTGAGCTTTTATACTCTTGAAGTCAACATTTATGAGGTGCACCCCATGAAGATTGGTTACTCGTGAAAGCGCCACGTAGGCTTGGCCACAAGTGAATATGGAGGTGCCAATGTCCATGAGGGCATTTTTTAGACTTAGACCTTGGCTCTTGTGAATTGTTAGGGCATACGCCACACAGATTGGGAATTGTTCTCTGTACACGTATGCCCGGGGTATGATCTCAAATTTTGACTTAATAGGCAATAATTCGTGAATCAAATTATTAGCGAATTTGACTACCAATTGTTTAGGCTTTGTTCGGTCTTCCGGGTCCCACCTCACTTTTTGTACAACGCCTATCGATCCATTCACTAAACCTAAACTAACATCAATATTTCTCCTAAGCATTACTTTAGCTCCCTCTTTAATAATTATAGTTTCTTCCAGTCCAGCAGTCATCGACGCATCATCTTCATATTTTTGTAAACACGCCCGAGCTTTCGTTATCATACATTTTGAACAATCCAAGGAATCTTTAGCAACTAACTTCATCTCGGGGTGCGGAATCGCTTTTAACATTGCATCATTTAACTGCATACACATATTTCTAGTCGGTAGTAAACAAACAGTATCTTCTGGTAAGTCCCTCAAACATTGTGCTATTTCCATTAACCTTCCTTTATTGGAATGCGAGAGCAGAGGTATCAATCGGTTAGACAGTATATCTCTGTCTGATTGAGTTGTCACTCCTACTCTGATTCTTTTTAACATTTCTACAAATATAGAATCATCCAGCTGTCTCATATTCAACCAAAAAAGAAAACTCAAAGAAAATATTACTCGGTCTACTCATTGTGGCGGTAGGGCTGCACCAAGGGTCGGCACTGAGCCCTTACCTCTTCCTACTGATTATGGACGCCTTGACGTCGGACCTGCAGGATGAGGCACCCTGGTGCATGCTCTTTGCCGATGACATCGTGCTTGTCGGGGAAGAAGGCATCGAGGTACAGAGCAGACTGACGGGGTGGCAACGGAGGCTGGAAAGTGTTGGCCTGAAGATCAGCAGATCCAAAACCGAATATCTGTGCTGTGATTTCGGCGGTCTTTCCAGTCCTGTACCCATGTCGTTGGATGGCGCTATACTGCCTATCTGCTCAGATGTCAAGTACCTCGGTTCCCTCATTCAAGGCGACGGCGGAATAGATAGAGCTGTGCAGCATAGGATTAACGCAGGGTGGATGAAATGGCGACAGGTCACAGCCACAACGTGCGATCCCCGAATGCCAATAAGGCTGAAGGGGAAAATTTACAAATCGATCATCCGACCTGTCGTCATGTATGGAAGTGAATGCTGGGCCGTCAAGAAGAAGGATGAAAATAGACTGCGTGCGAATGAAATGAGAATGTTACGATGGATGTGTGGTGTGACAAGGATGGATAAGATAAGGAATGAGTATATAAGAGGAAGCCTGAAAGTAGCGCCAGTGGTAGAAAAGGTGAGAGGAAGCAGATTGGCATGGTTTGGGCATGTGATGCGGAGGAATGAAAGTCATGTCACAAAACGAGTGTTGAATATGAATGTGGAGGGACACACGGGCAGAGGAAGGCCGAATAAAAGATGGATCGATTGTGTGAAGAGTGATATGAGAATGAAAGGAGTAAGTATGGAAATGACGGCTGATAGAGAGGAATGGAACAAAAAGATTTACTGCGCCGACCCCAGATAATGGGAAATGGTTTAGAGAATGATGATACTCATCTATAAACTATAAACAAAGGGTTAACTCTTAATTATTAGACAAGTGTCAATATAATGAATTATCAATGAACTTTTTACCAAAGACATTCCCTCTACCTAGTATTGAAATACAACTAAATTAATGATATTTTTAAACGAAACGAAGCAATATCTAACTAAATAGACTTAACCTATAATACTAGAAAAGTACTTACTTACTATAAGCTTATCGCAAAAACAAAACGTCGGCGCGTTTTAAAATACAGTCAGCGCCATCTAGCGACGTGTGCAGGTATCACCGCCACTCTTAGTTCAATGCATTATATTTTGACCATTAAAATACAGTCAGCGCCATCTAGCGACGTGTGCAGGTATCACCGCCACTCTTAGTTCAATGCATTATATTTTGACCAAATTTTGAGCGAAATGAGTATTTTAGTGTAATTTGTTTATTTAATTTGATTAATGTTCGAATAGAATAAAGTTAATCGTTCGATTATTTTTTCTTGTAAACTTGTAAGTATAAGTATAAAAGCCAGTCTAGTGTCATCCAGAGTTTTCCTTTAATTTTATTTATATGCGTATTAAAAGCAGAAGGGGAGGCATTCGCCCAGCAGTGGGACGCTATAGGCTAGATTAAATTAGAAGATGTGTCCCACTACGCTGGATTTTTGCAATGACAGTAGATTTTTTTATGTACTAATGGTAGAAGGGGGCATTACCATATCTCTAATACAGCTGAGACCAGCTGAAGGTTTTTCATCAGATACTTTAGACCTTCGATTTTTGACATCAAATAAAGCGGCCTACCAAGTTAAATATATTTTGCAAGGGCGGTATGTCGATCTCATCTAATAGTTTGGTTGAGCTCTTGTGTTTTCTAATCAGGGTCACCAGGTACTCCAGATCTTCGATTATCCTAGTTTTTATAGTTTTCCCTTTATGTGGCCATTAAACCCTAATTCTGTACCAAATTTCAGCTCTCTAAGTTTATGGGAAGTACTAGTTCTATTCTGATGATCATGAGTGCGAGTGTGAAATGCGAAACTTTGCTTTCGCTTAACTTCGGAACTAAATGACCTACAGACTTGAAATTTTGGATTTTAAGTATGTGATTATAGCTTACTGGATGACGAAAATTTCTGCGTTCTGGTCTTATCCGGAGGTTCTCAAATAGAGGCCTGAAAATGCGGCGAAACGGTTCCAGTAAAGGATGGTACGGCAGTGTTTGCTTCGCGCTCGACTTGGCGGGGGCACTGCCGTGCCCCCCGATTTATTCTTACTAACTTATTCGATTTGCGTAACACTTGAGAGTTATCGGAAACGATTTATTTCTAATAGGCGATTAATTTTGAACGGGGTATCAATAGCCCTCGAGTAAGGAATTTGTATAACTGAAAACAGTTCAGGATTTAATTCAAATACAAATATGCTAAGCGGTTTACTACGTAACATAACCTATTATAGCTTACTTTATATACAAAACTAGGTTTACATTACAAATATATTGATAGCTTAGGTATAAATCTTAGTGGTTTCTAAAATTCTACTTAGCGATACTACAAATATTTTTAGTGCTTGTTCATGTGATAAATAAATGAAAAAAAAGGTATTACCGGCAACTATTACGAGTGACTTTCATGTGTTTTAAATTGTTTTGTGCTGAACTTTAATTATGTTTCTAAAATAAAATTAGTCAAAGTTACTCCTTATAAAATCAGCTATCAGCTTCTGTCCCGTCAAAGTCGGTCAACTCATTTCGGAGACGGAACACATAGACAGACAGACAGACAAAAACTTAATAAATAGTTTTTTGTCATGAGAACAGTATATACTTTTATATGTATTTAGTAAGAAGCTGTTATTTTGACATTACAGACACTTCAATTTTATTTATTTGTATAGATTATATATTCATAATATTTAAACTACATAATTTTAATATATGCACTTTTTATGGAGGTAAAGTAAAAGTAAAGTGTCTTATATACTTCCCATTTTTGGGTTATTCCCTCCTCTCATATGTGAGATGGTTTTAGAACGACAAAATGTCCGCCGCGCTGCCAATGCGTGTTGGCGCACTTCACATGTCTTTGAAATATATTTTTTCTCTGACATGCAGGTTTCCTCCAGAGGTTTGCCTTCATCGTCACATCGCACCCAGTAAATCAGCACTTCAAAGTCCCGGCGGGTATCGAACTCAGGTTGCTTGCGAACTGTGAAATTTACAGCAAGCGATTAGGCTCTGAGCTGCCACGGATAATTAGTTTTATTATAGAAAATGTAATTTCTCGAGACAGTATTTTAGATGTATAATTTTTTTTTGTTTTAGATATGGAAGTAATATAGTTTTAATTAAATAAATAATATTTACACACACAAGCCTCGGTCTACCAAGACAACTATACGATATTCCTCATTTATTAAAAATAAACCATAAAAAAACTAAAGCCATCCTCGAAAACCTCAAAATAAGAAAATCATTTGAACATAATTTATATCGCCGATACACTATACACGACATAATATTTTGGCACAGACTTCAGAAGTTATTAAATGATGTGGAATGTATTTTATTAATTTTAGTTTATAAAGTCGTTTTGTTACAAATGTATCTTTTAAGTGGGATATTATTAACTCGATGAATAAATATAAAGCGAATTATATAGTTATTATTATATTATTAAGACAAACATTCCAAAGATGTTTTGCGTTAAAGTTTGTTCAAATTTCCAACCCTGACTCTCCAACTAAACAATTTAAGCAAATGTTTGGTGAATCCACGCCATAGTATTTGCCCTGCCAGATAGCTATCATGTCTTGAATTATCCGCTCTATTCCCGTTGTGACTTCCGGAGTTTAGTGCAGTTGAGAATTCGTAATAAGTTTTGCCTCAAATTTTCTAACAGATGTAGAAATTTCTATTGAATTAAATAAATCCATATATTCACGTAACGTGTTAACTTGAATATACATATATATTTATCTTTTCTTTTTCCGATCCCACAGTTCAAAAGTCCATTGCTGTAATAGGCCTCCCACACATCTGTGGTTTCCCTAAATGTTGTCTCAACGCCTTAGAAATAAAATACTCACATAATAATACTAGTCCTAGGCCATAAGTCCCATAGGAAATAAACACTCCAATAATTTTAATGTTGATCGCACAATTAAGCGGAGATTATGCTTGCTTGAACGCTCGTTTTTAGTAGAAAAAAAAATAAAAGGAGAAAGTTCTCCATTAGACTGTATGATCTTTTTTGTATGCTGCGCAATATATTCGTAAATCGTAATAATTCTTTATATATGTTTAAATTTTTATGGCTCTACTACTTAAAAATACCTTACATTTTACGTAAGAAAGATACGCTGCAGTGATATTACGGTAGTAGCACGAATGAGGCTTCTCAGCCGGTGAAGGACCATGCTCAGAGACGTGAATTTCAGCGTCAAATAGCATCTTAAGGCTGCTATGTTTCTTTTGGTAAGCTCAGAGAACTGGATATCCTTTTAACTGAAAACGGGGCTATCTTAGTATTCAGAGGTGACAACGCCTTCTGAATTTTGATTCTAATCGAGGATAGATGTCTATGGGCTTCAGAATCCACTTACTATCACGTTATCTTTACATGTGTTATTCCTTAGTCTACCCTAAAGGTTAAAAATAACTTTTGATAAAATATAAAAGCCGCCTAAAATAATTAAAAAGCGTAAAATAGTTTGCAACTATAATAACTTCACAAGTCATTAATAAAATATATTTTATAGTAGTAAGAAGTCAAAAATCTCGATATTAGGACGGGTCGCATTTCAGATATAAAAGTGGGTATTATACAGATAAAATACAAGCTTGAAGACAACATAT